AAAATGACACAAACTCTTCTTCTTCTTGTTTTAATCCCTAAGGTTAGACATCTTAGTATTCCGAATGTTAAGGCCTTTTTTTTTTTACATTTTCGAATTAGATTTTATAAATATATAAAAAATCGTAAAAATGAAAATTTTTTTTTTATTGAAAATGTCCGAAAAAAAAAAATTTCGATCATGTATTTTATTTTATTTTCGTTGTTTGATTTTCTGGTTTTTTTAAAAAAAAAATTTTTATTAATTTCTATTACCTCGAGTAAAACAGTTTTCTTAAATAAACAAACAAAAATGTTGTTGTGAGAAAATAAAAAACCGTTAAAAGGAAACGATGATTGTAATGAATTTTTTTTTTTTTCATTTCGGATTTAAATTCAATTAATAATAAATAAATAAATAAAAAAAATAAATCGATTCATTAATAATAATAATAATATAACATTAACCTCTTTTCACATGATACAATAATAAATAATTAATTAAAAAATGATTAATTAATTAAAAATTTAAGGATTATTATTTAACGACGCGAAAATAATTTTTTTTTTGTTTTTTCTGACGTAAAAAATTAAAAATCAATTTTAATCGATTATTATTATTATTATTATTAATATATTCTCTGCCAAATTTTTTTTTATATATATGGAAAACCAATAGCAAATAGCTTAATAAGAAATTTAATAGAAAATTTGAAATTTAATACCCGAAAGATTATTTTATTTTATTATTTTCACACGTTTTTTTTTTTTTTCTTACGCGGTGTTTAAAAATTTAATTTTTTCCATTAAATTATTATTATTATTATTATTATTATTATTATTATTATTATTATTATTATTTTAAACAAAATATTATCGAAGTAAATTTTTGAAAACAATTTCACGACTTGATTGCTATGTGTATGAAACCGATTTTCCGAAAGCTTATTAATTTATGTCTATATATTTATATTATTCGCGTATAATTTGTGTATTTTTTGTAAATTTATCGATTTATTGATTAATTGATTTATTGATTATCTTTTTTTTATTTAAAATTTAACCCAAAAAAAAATTTAAAAAGAAAAAATTTGAAAAAAAAAAAAAAAATTATTACACCAATCAAAATATTTTAATCAAGAATTTAATTTTTTTTTTCTTAAGAAAAATAATGTCCTAATAATATTTTAAATAAAAAACAAGGCTTTTTTAATTTAAAAAAACCGAATGCAAATTTTTTTGTTTTTTTTTTTTAAAAGCCGAATAATTCAATGCGATTTCATAATGTCAAATACATCTTTTTAAAAAAAAACGAATGCAATTTTTTTTGTTTTTTTTTTTTAAAAAGCCGAATAATTTAATTTGATTTCATAATGTGAAATACATCTTTTTAAAAAAAATTTCAAACCTTTTGTTTTCTTTTTTACTTTTTACCTTCTTTAAAATTTTATTTATTTATGAATAATTTATTTTTTATTATAAATAAAAAAAAAAAAATAATAATTATTATTTTTTTTAAGTAATTAATGTACGCATCGAAATTTCATTTTTGATATAATTTTAGTTAAAAATTATTATTATTATTATGATAAAGGTCGTTTTTCCCTTCGACAGGTCGGTCATCCATTACTTTCAAGTCGGTGTAAAAGCTGAATATTTTCTTTTTTTTTAAAACCTATTCTATTTTTTTAAAACCCCATAAAATCGCCATTAAATATATATATGTATAATAAAATATATTTAAACTTCCAACTCATATATATATATAAATACATTTTTATTAAAATACATAATTTATTATTATTACTATTATTATTATTACGTAAAATAAAATTTTTTTTTTCATTCTTTTTTTTTTTAGACACACCTATACGTGGAAAATCAATGAGATGATATGTCTTTCTATTTTTTTTTTTATTTCCTATCACTAATAAATATAATTATCACCACCACCATCGCCATCTTGACCATAAATATGCAAAAAAAAAGATGGTGAGTGAATAAATCAATAAATCAATCAATCAATTTAAAAAAAATTTAATTAATTTGGGTCAATCTCGTAAAAGAAGTTTTCGGTTGTTTTCGTTTTAAATTTTTTTTTAGAAAAGCGAATAGGCGAAGGGAAAACGTCTCCAATTATGGTTTTCGGTTTGAACACTTATCTACTTATAAGAGCTCAAAGGATTATAAGGGTTCACGTGACCTTTCCATTCATTTTGGTTATTGTACCAAAAGGGAATAAGAAAGTAAAGTCAATGAAATTAAATTAATTTCGAGATAGAATTTTAAAAGAGAAGAAATAAGAAGAAGAAAACAACACAAAAATAGTAGCCATTTTGTTTTTTTCAACTTCTAAAATTTAAAACAATTTTTGAAAAAAAAAAAATCGAAGCAATTATGTATTATAGAATTTTCCAGAACTTAATGATGAATGCAGACATACATGCACACACGCACGGAACAACCACACGACGAAAAATAATTTTTCTGTTTGTTTGTTTGTTAATGAAAAAATTTTTAAATTTTCGTTTTTTTTTAATAATTGTTGTTTTAGTTTGTTTGTTTGTCGAAATTAATTTTTTTTACAAAAAAAAAGGATTGCCATCACAAAGGATGGATTTAACGTTAATCATAAGAGGCTACAACGAAGTTGACAAACAGAACAAACGACAATAAGAAAAATGACGTTGTTGAAAATTTCCGGGATGATGAATTTCCAGAAGATATTCCATCCGTTGCTTCAGCTGCTGTGGGTTGAGGATGAAAAACTTCAACTGAAAAATTACGTTAAAAAAAAAAAAAAAGAAAAACATTTTTTATAATTATTTATAATCATCATTATCATCATCATCATTATTATTATTATTTATTAAATAATAAATCCTAAAACTTAATAAAAAAAATGTTTTCGAGAGCTTTTTATATTATTTTTAACATAACAAAAAAAAAAATTTTTTTTTCTAATTAAAATCATTAAAACAATTAATAATAATAATAATAATAATAATAATTAATTTTGTAAAATTAATAAATATAAACAAACAAACGACAAAAAAATTGTTTACATAAAATAACAAAAACGATGACGATGATGACGACATTGATTTGATAAATTAAAAAAACGTTTTTTTTTTTCGTTTCGTTTTGTTTATGTTAAAATAATAAAAATTTTTTCTTATTTGTGTAAACTTTTCCTTTTTTTTTCTTCCTTTGTGTTTTAATTTAAAATCACGTATAACAAAGGAAAAATAATTAAAAAATTTTTTTTTTTTACATCAAGTGAAAAAAAAAAAAAACTACATTAATTATTTTATTAAAAAAAAAAAAGTTAAATATCTCGAGTTTATCTTTTTTTTTTTTTTAATCAGTATCATTTAAAACGGGTACAAAGAAAAGAAAAAAAGGAATAGGAAAAAAAAGGAATGAGGGAATCAAAAAAAAAAAAAAAAAACAAAGGAAAAATTATAAAGAAATATACGTGTTGAAAAAGAAAATTTTTTTTTGACTGGTTTTAAGGTAATGAAGTAATTTTAAAAAATGCGGGAAGGGGATATTAAAAAGATGGCGGATTTTTTCCTTTTTTTCTTTTTTTCGAAATAAAATAAAAATTTCATTTTTTTTTTTTTTTGAAGTTTTGTAATAGTTCATTTGTTGAAATACAATAAAAATGAATAAATTTTTTTTTTCTTTACTCCTTCCAATAACTTTTTAACGCATAAAAAGGAAAAAGAAAAAGGAAAAAAAGGAAAAATTTTATTCAAATTTAATGCTCGTATCGATGAGTAAAATTTAAGGAAGTAAAAATCAAATAAAAAAATTTTTATTTTTTTTAAAGAAAGTCATAAAATAATTTCATACTGGAAAAAACAAAAACAAATGTCTACCAACTGAATTTTCCTTTTCCTTTTTTCCTTTTTTTTCGTATTTTTTTCTTTATTTTTCATTATTTTCATATAATAAAAGGAAAATTATTATATAACGCGACTAAAAAAAAAAATTTATAATTAATCAATTATATTTAATTATGATCGGATTTTATTTATTTATTTTTGTTATTAATTAATTTTTTATTATTGATTTTTATCGATTGTCACTTCGTTATTATTATTATTACTATTATTATTATTATTATTTTTTTTTAAATTTTAATAAATTTTCTTTTGTCCCCCTCCCACAGCGAATTTTTTCTGAAGGCGTTCATTTATTTTCGGTAAATTAAAATTAAGTTTTTTTTTTTTTGTTTTTAAAAAGGTTCGAGTAGTTTGAAATTTTCTAATAATACCTGAAAATGCTTTTTTCCAATTTTCCGTTTTTTTTTTTTTGAAAACCCTAGAAAACCCATCCTTTCTCCTTCCCCTCCCCTTCATAACTCCCATCCCTTACGAAGAGATTTTATAATAGCAAAAAAAAAGAAAAAAAAAACTAATTAAATTTTTATTGTACTAAATTTACTTAATTTTTTTCTTTTTTTTCCCTACCTCGTACCTGAATTTTTTACAGCCATTTTTCTTTTTGAAGGTAATGAAAAATGGGATTTAAACGTAAAAATATTAATATAATAGAATAATTAAAAAAAAAAAGAAAAAATTTTCCCTCGCTCATAAAAAAAATTTTTTTTTTGTGCTTGTTTGATTTATTTAGATTTTTTTTTTCCTCATGAAAAGGAATGAAAGATTTTATTTACAAAACGTTTTTTAGTCTCCTATTATTATTATTATCATTTCATTTTTTATTCCAGAATTTTGTTAGCGCAAACTCCTGGAATTTTTTTGGTAAATTTTAAAAGAAATAAATGGAATGAATGGGTTTTAATCGGTTGAAATTTTTCTTTTTTCGGAGTCTTCAGGTCATTCTACAAGTCACCATAATAATAATAATAATAATAATTATTATTATTATTGTTGTTGTTAACTTATGGGAATTACCATAAAAATTTAATGGCGATTTTTTTTAAAATATATAATGTATGAAAAAATTTCATAACAAAAGTTAATTAATTATATAAATATATACATATATGAGTTAATTCTCATCTATTTCATCTTCGTCTTCTTCGTCTTCTTCGGCTTCCTCAACATCACCACCAGTTTCCAACTTTTGTTCTTCTTGTTTTACATCGTTAAAAGCATTGAGTAAATCCGTTTCTAATTTTTCTTTTAAATTTTGTACGGCAATTTCGAAATCCGTTTTTACCGGTTCAGATTTGTCTTCTTTCATTTCTTTCGCCAACGCGATTTCACGCATTCTAAATCGGATTTCTTTATTTCTAGTTTCCAAAAGTTTTTCCCGTCTACTTTCCCTATCGAACATGGCACCTAAAAAATTCTTATCGTTTTTCGATGTTTCCGCAAGATTCGTAGAATACCTAACGACGAAGGCGGTACCAACCGCATTACCAACGACGACCAATTCTCCATCGTCTCTTACTCTAAGACAGGTCAAAGGTTGATCTGACAATTTAAAGGATAAATAAGCGTGTTTTTGTTCTTGTAAAATATCCCAAAGATCTAAAACGCCATCTTCTCGGGTTAAAAAAAAAACGGATGCTCGAGTCTGACTCCATTCTCCGGCTGTTAATCTCGTATTGTGGTATTTCGTCCAAAGAATGGCAGATTCCTTACAATCCTCAGAAAATATTCTTGCGGACCAATCACCGACGGTTAATACGTTTTTATTAAATGCTTGATTTCTGTGTATCGTATATATCGGTCCGTAATGAGCTTTCATCATCCAGGGTAATTTTTCCTGTTGATTGGTACCTTTTCTATTACCCGCAATGATGTATCCATTTTCGGAGCCGACCATATATCTTGCAGGAATGTTCGGCTCGTATTCGAGACACGAAGCCGCCATTGCTCGCGTGAAGCTTGGTTTTTCACCTTTAGAAGTATCGAGAATAATAAAATCCACGGGATTATCAAGTTTTCTACAATCCCACCATTTAACGGTACCATCGCTCGAAGTAGAAAAAAATTCCATTCCTGATTTCGTGCTTATCCATAAAACGGAATGTGCAGGATCTCTATGACTAGATTCTTTACAACTTAAAACGACAGGTTCCGGACCTTTTCGACTATCGAAACCTGCAACTTGTCCGCTATACATTCCTCCAGCCAATGAATGTGCATCTTTCGGATTGAATTCCAACGAAACGATGGGCATTTTCGCTTCGAAATGCAAAAGAGGAGTGTTTGAATTTTCAACGTCCCAAATATAAGATTTGAAAGTCTGATCGGGTAACAATCTTTGAAAGTTCATGTTACAATGCGTCAATGCGAATTCGTTTTCTATGGGTGACCACGAGCAATGGGTTATGGGTCTTTTAACCTCTTGGGGATCTCTAAAAACGTTTTGTATTCTACAAGATGCTTTTTCGCTTGATATCGCGGATACTGTATTAACAAAATATTGTTCGTATATATTAACGGCATTATTTTGAAGTATGGCGTGTTCCATGGGCGCGGTTAAATGTTTCATCGCTAATATATAATTATCTAACCTTTCGATTTTTTTTCTAAATCTTAAAACGGCTTCTTCGTCGTTCGTATCGAGCTCTTTCGGCCAACCCCCTTCCAAATGATTCATTCCGTGATCCGCAAAATCTTTTCTTATCGTATTTATTTGATTTTCCGACATTATTTTCGCGTATTGCGTACCTTTTTCAACTGGATTTTTAAATATGTATTTTTCCATGTAAGCTTTATCAGGTTTTAAATCGTCTATGAGTTTCGGTCCTTCGTCGCAAAACACGCATTGCCTACCGAAATTTTTCCTTATTTTCGTATACACGTAATTAATATCCATTTTATTATTATTATTATTACTTTATTGAGAAAAACAAGGAAGAAAAATTATTTAATTATCGAAAATAAATATTTTATGTATGTAATAAATAACCACCGCGACATTTCTTTTTTTTTCTAAAATTATTATTATTTTTTAAAATAATATTTTAAAACGAAAATAAAAAATTAATCAGTGCAGTATTCAGGTACATATTTAATAACATTCTTTTACGAAAAAAAAAAAAAATTGATACAAATTCTATGTGTATATACTTTATTATTATTATTTTGATTTTATTTAACGCCGCACTTCATAGAGTTATTTTTTTATTTTACTCGATTGTAAAGTTGGCAATATTTGTTTTGAAAAAATTTCGAATAAAACGATACTTTGTTTGAAGTAAAAAAAGAAAAAAGAAAATTTTTATATAAACTCACCGGAAATAGTTTGTATTCTTTTATCGGCGAATCTTTCTTCTTCGTCATCTAAATAAGCAGGTATCGTGGATATACAAGTCAATTCGACAAAACCGGAAGGTCCGACGTGTGTTTCCATAACGTTTAACGTTAATTGCGTCGTTGACGATGTTAAATGTTCGCCATTTTGATTTCTACTGTGATGAAAAGTTTTCAAATATCTATAATCTATCTGAAATTTTCCAAAAAAAAAAAAAATAAGCAATTTTTTTTATGAACGTCGTTATGATAATATCGTGTAAATAATTTTTACGATCTACACCGTAATATTTTTTTTGGTATTATAAAATAATTTATGAAATATACGGAATGAGAAATTAGTCGAATGAATGAATGAATGAATGAATGAATGAACGAACTCATTTGATACGGAAAATATAATTAAATCGTGTGTGAGAGTGATCTTAGACCCCGAGGGAACCATTAATTTCAAAAAGAAAAGTTAAAAACTTACTTTTATTTTTAAATCGTGACCGTGGAAACTCATATATATATATATAAATTTACTATTTTAACACTTTAATTATTATCATTATTATTATTATTATTATTATTATTATTATTACTCGAAAAAAAATTATTTTGAAATGATTTAACATTAATTTTTATAAATATTTAAGACGTGCGAGAACAAAAAAAAAAATACAACATCCGAAAAATTTTTCTTTTAATAAAAAAAAAAAATAATTAAAAAACCCTCCACCTCCTCTCCGCCCCCCAAAAAAGGTTTTAGCGGCGGACAAAAAAAAAAAGGAAACCGAACAACAAAGTGGATACTTTATTTTATTTTTTTAAATATTTTTTTTTTTTTTTATTTTTAAATAAAAATAATTACGGAATTTTAAATAATATTACGTAATTTTTTCATATTCATACAAACAAACAAACAAACGCAAACAAGAGAGAGAGAGAGAGAGAAAGAGAGTGAGAGAAAGAGAGTGAGAAAGCGTCACTGTAATTATTACGCAAAAAAAAAAAAATTTACTTTACCTTTTTGACAGAGGAAAAGATTTAATAATCATAACAAAAAAAAAACAAAAAAAAACACGAGTGAAATAAAGGAGGAGGAGGAGAAGGCGGGGAAGGAGAAGGGGAAGGAGAAGGGGAAGGAGAAGAGGAAGGAGAAGAGTAAGGAGAAGGGGAAGGAGAAGGAGAAGGGGAAGGAGAAGGAGAAGGAGAAGGGGAAGGAGAAGGGGAAGGAGGAAACGGAAAAGGAAATAAAACAAGATGGAAAATTGAAAAACAAAAAAAAAATTTTTTTTTTTTTACTCATAGATTATGCGAAAAATACATTTTAAAAAAATGGAAAGTTTTGAAATTCAATTTTGCAACTGTCAAGTTTCACGTTAAGAAAATAAAAAGGTTTTTTTTTTTCTTTTTTTTTTTTTTTTTACCCCGTAGATAATTGAATTAAATATTCCAAATCAGTGAACTGTAGATTTTTTCCGCCATTTTTCCATACATTGCTTTTCCGCCCCACCCTTTCCCTCTCCTCCCCTCTTCACCACCACCGCCACCATCCTGCCCTTCGTGGTAATTTTTACCGGCAAAAAAAATATTAAAAAAAAAAAAAAAAAAAAAAAAAAAAAGATAAAAAAATGTTTCGAATCATTTTCAGACGTGTATTTAGTTTTAACATATATATCATCATTACGTCAGAGTAAAAAATTTAAATATTTAATGACGTCATCAAATGAAAAACCGTTAATAAATTATTATTAATATTATTATTATTATTTGGGAGAAACTCGGGAGATTTTAACTAGTTTTTTTTTTTTTTGGTAATTGCTCTCTCTTTCTCTCTCTCTCTCTCTGTCTGTCTTTCTGTCTTTCTCTCTCTCTTTCTCTGTCTCTCTCTTCCTCTCTCTCTCTCTCTCTCTCTGGTAATAATACGATAAATATTGACAACAACGTTGAATTAATTATTTCGTACAAATTCGGGAAAAAAAACAAAAATTTATTTATTATTAACGGTTTTTAAATTATTTATTTATTTATTTTCTCGTCGTTTGATGATGATTAGAGGGGGTTGTTTTTGCTCACCCCCAACGACCTTTTCCTCCCCCTCGCCCCGTTATTTGTTTTCTTTGCAAATTTTTTTTTTTTTTTTCAATAAAAATTTTAAAATTTTTTTTGAGAAATTAAAAAAAAAAAAAATTCCTCCCCCTCCCTACTACTCGCCCTCCCCCCGAGTTATTTCACCGAGCTGGAAGAAAAATAATGATAATAATAATAATATATTTACATTAATAAAAATTAAATGTGTAATAAAGTCCAAAAAGTTTTGAATTTTCTTTTTTTTTTTCGCGGTAAGTCGCGGATTCTATTGAAAAATGACGGATTCAAGGTTTTAAAAACGAATGATTTTGTTTTGTAATAAGAACGAAAGAAGTTTTAGAAACTTTGTTTCAAAACAAAAAAAAACCGTTAGATTTTTAAACGCTATCGATGTCGTTAAGAATTTTATTTTGTTTTATTTTAAAAAAGATTTTTTAATTTTTTTTTATTTTTGTCGTCTTCCATTTTCTAAATTAAATAATTAATTTCGTTCACTCACCGCGAGAAGAACAAAAAAACGCGACAAACAACAAATCGACGACAAACTACAAACAAATAAAAAAAAAAATTTAATTCGACGTAATCGATCGACGAATAATTTTTTTTTTTTTTTGTTCAGACCGAATTTAAATTACGTTGTTGATGAACGTACACTTTACCCCTTTCCTGTCAGGTACGGGAAAATTAAGGAAAATTTCACCCTTATCCCATCATCATCATTATTATTTCGTGTTTTTTTTTATTGTTTTCCACTACCGTAACGAACTTTTAGTAATTTAAATTGAAATAAAAAAAAAAATCTATTTTTTACATGCAACATTATTTTCAGCACAAGAGCAGCCATTTTGAAAAGATTTATTATGTAAAATCCTTTTATTATTTCCTATAGAAAAGCTTAACAAAAAAAATTTTTTTTATATATTATTATTATTATTATTATTATTACAACTATTGACGTAATCAGTAGCGGTTTAAAGATTTTCATCATCATCATCATCATCGAATGCTTTTTATTTAAAAATTCGAACCTTATTTATATGAAAAGAAAAAGTTTTTCCTCTTTTTTTTAAAAAAAAAAAAAAAAAGATTAAAAGGATGATGATGATAAAATTAACTTCTGCTCTTATCAACCCACACACACGAGGGAGGAGATGATGATAATTTTAATTATATTAAATTTGTTAATTATTTTAGTGTCTTGGTTTATAAAAACCAAGATGAACACCTCAAAAAAGAATTTTTCAGGGTAGAATTAAGGAAGGTTACGGTTATTTAAATACAAAGAAAAAAAAATTAATTAATTTGTTGTAAAGAGAGAGAGAGAGAGAGAGAGAGAGAGAGAGAGAGAAAATCAAAATCGATTCCTCAGTAATAATAATAATAATAATAATAATTAAATAAATAAATTTGTAAAAGAGGTTTGGAAAAAGAGAAAAAAGGAGGAAAAAATCTTTTTTTTTTGTTGTAATTATGTAAAAAAAAATAAATAAATAAATTTATTTGATAATATAAATAATAATATTATTATTATTATTGCTGGAAGGAAATTTTTTTTTATTTATATAAATATAACGCGTAATAAGATTACGTCACGAACGTGAGGTAAAAAAAAAAAAAAGTCGATACGATAATTTACTTAAAAAAATAAATAAATAAAATTTTTTTTTTTTTTTAATTTTCCCGTAGCAAACGCTATAAAAAATTCCACTCTTCCCTCCCCTCCACTTCTCTCTCACTCTTCCCCCACTCTCTCTTTTTAATAGGAAAATTTATTAAATTGTCCATTTTGAGTTTTTTTTTTTTTTTTTTTTTTTTTTTT